TTCTCTTCAGATGTTTTCCCCTTAAGACATGCTCCGGGGAGAAAGCACTTAACTTCAATACATTCTTTGTCATAATACTGGAACATTTAGTACAAATTAACAAAGTTTCACATATTACTGAATCACCATGTCTTAATTTGATATAACATTTTATTTTCTTGACCGAATAAGAGAACCAAAAAGATACTATTCAAGTGCATCGCTTAAACAATAAGTTTAGGAGAGACGCAAGCGAACATTCTTCTTTCCAATATTATTAATAACTTTCACATTAGCCGAAGTAGAAAGAAAAAACTGCTTTAAAATATAGGAAAATATGTACTATATCATATTTTAATAATTACTAACAATCTAACATCCTGTATCTCTAACAAAATAAGCCAGAGAGTTAAATTCAATTTTTATTTTCATTTTAAACCGAGACCCCAAAAGTCAAGGTTTCAACGCGATACAATGAAAGTCAATGAGAGGCTAACTCTTGAAGCTGCCCTGTGAAGCAATCTACGCGAGTCGTTTGAGGAACGGCCGCCCCGGCGCAGGCTGGGGAAAATAAGAGGTCACATAACGAGGATCAGCGACAATTTGCAGAGCGGATTGAAGCGTTTAAAAACAGTAGAGCGGGACCGCTTGAGCAAGCAGCGGTAGAGGAATCGAGCAATGACTGGGGCGGAGCAGAATAACGCGTTTAACAACGAGCGGGAGCAGAAAAGCGCCGGGAGTGTGAGAGTGAGAGTGAGTGAGTGAGAGAGAGAGAGAGAGAAAGAACGTCGCCCGCGGAGAGAGGGAAACGGCATAAAAAATATGCCTTTGAGGTGGTGCCCGTGCAAGGAAATGAGTCTAATAGGAGGACTAGAGTGAAAACCTATCAAGAAACAAGTGGAGGAGGATTTTTTTAAGAAGAAAATGGTTCAAAGGCGAATTGCCTGGAGGTATGAAAACAAAGAGAATGAAGAGAGGAAACATCAACGAGAAAATGTTCCACAGTATCAGTAAGACGGGAATGAGTGGCAACAACAGTTGCGATATATTCGATAATGTGAAATGTGAGCTAATTTCTCCTCTCTCTCTCTGTATGTATATATATGTGTTATATATATATATATATGTACTATATATATTATTAGTATATATATTATATTATATTTATATATATTTTTACGGGTTATATTGTTCGGATATCTTTTGTTTATTCCCATATGGTGTGTGTTTTAAAAGCAAACCTTTAACTTTCCTGAGAAATCTCCTTTCTGCTGTTTGAATTGTTGCTTTGATCTCTTCTTTATCATTATCCATGTTTCCTTCCATACTGGAGAATTGACTCACGATTATAAATTCATTTATTATATAATATAAATGAAAAAATAAAGGGAAAAACAGAAGAATTATGGGAGCATTCGTGTTCTAGAATGGGATGAAGAAAGAATTCACGACCTAGTGATGAAGTACATCCAAAAGGAAAAAAAAATATGGGAGGCCCAGAAAGGATGGTCGTGAGGGGTGCGCAGTGGAAGACGTAACGCATTAATGCCTAATCCTTGAATGGAAAGGAGAAGAAGGAAAGTAGTGAACCACGATCGGTAGCCCGATGCCCTACAGGGACTACCCAAAGCTCAAAAGAGCTGGAGAAACGAAGGGGGAATTGAGATGGCGAGATTTTATTACAGGGCAGACGCAGATGTCGAATGATGCGGATGGAGGTGGCGGCAGCGCTTCTGGGTGAAAATGCCCCGGGGCGGGCTGGCATCGCGGAGTGACTGGGAACGAGGTTACCGAGCGGAGAGAGACAGCGATAATGCTTCAGCGATGCGGCATTACTGCAGCGGCGTACGGCTGAGGCGCGGGTGCTGAGCGGTTACGAGGTGCAAGGTGCTGGCAGTGGCGATGGCAGCATGGCATGGTCAATGATGGTGGTGGAGATGGTGCGGAAGGATGGCTGATAGCAGGGAGGGTGGAGGGTGGTAGAGTAAACGGGGAATAAAGGCGAGAGGGGTCGATACAGATGTGGCGGTGACGGTGATGGTGGGACGTTGAGGAAAGAATGATTGACGCGGGGGGGGGGTAGAGGGAGTGTTGGAGTAACGGGGGATAAAAACGAGGTGAACGTGGTGATAATGGTATTGTGCGTCACTTGGGTATGGTGGGGTGGACGGCTAATGGGAGTGATGCGTTGGGAGGCGGGGAGTGCGGAGGAGTGCAGAGTAACGAAGGGGGTAATTGCTGGGGGAGCGGTCGTGTGTATGAAGGGGCAGACGGCGATTGGCTCAGGTCATCGACTAGAGCGGTATGGCTGCGCGACCGCGGTTGTGAGGAGGCGTGACGGCTTGCTTGAATGGGCGAGTAGCTGAGCGCCGAGGCGCTTCCGGGCGGGGCGGGCGGGGCGGCGGATGAGCGGGAGGGACGGTACGGAGCGAGAGGGGTGAGGCTGCGAGAGGCCTGGCTCGTCGTCGCGGCCGCCCCCGTGGTTTAACGATGGATGCGCCTCGCACGCGCGAAAACTAATTTCGCACTTACCCGCGTCGCACAGCCTGCTCCGAACTTCGTGCGTCGCCCGAATGGAAGACAACAAACAACCCCGGGCCTTCGACACGAGAAACCGCGGATCGCCTCCTTTCGTTTTTTAAAGCATAATACTTTGAAATTGATTTTACACAGCCATAACATAGATTGTGATAAAGTTTCATGGGAAATTTATGATGCATTCATGTCTCATTAATTTAGCTTAAATGAATGGAAACCACATTATTACTAAGTTCTTTGATATAATGTTCATTAATTAATATAAACAAGTTTTGTTGGAATTTTTTCTGCCTAATTTTTTTAATTTTTAACCATTTGTTAGGGAAAATATTTTATTTCACCAGCAAAATCGATTTACGTTGCAAATTTTCTCGGATATTACATTTATCTAATATCATTAATGTTTATTTAAAATGGTTTTATTTTTAAGAAAACCGACAGAGGTAGGAAAATTAAAAAATGCCTTATTTTTCACTCTTTAAAATGTTGTAGGGAATTACATTTAATTGAACCCATAATGTTATCCGAAACGTTCTAGCGCATTCCCGCCCCGAGCGCTAACAACAAATTAACCAGTATTCGCTGATCAGCTTGCGGGGAAGCGCTTGCGTTTAGCTTTACAAAAATTGTGATAAATTCATACTACAATTCTATTCCGAAAGTAATATACATTAAAAATAAAAAAATTCTAACACTCGTTTTCTGTTTCTAGTGGACGATTGTACTGGAAAAAATTTGTATATTAATAATTTATGTATCAATACTGTAATGTTAGAAATTGATTGAGAAAAAAATATTATGTAATTATTTTCCGTTAAAAAAGCACAATCCCATCCCAAACAAATTGAAATATTAAACATTGATCTCTCT